CCCGCTGCACTAGTGCGAACTGACTCGGAATTGTGGAACTAAAGACCTGAAAGACGCACGAAACGAGTAAGATGTGGTTTATCGACAAGTGCGAATCGACAAGTGAGAACTTACTCGCAGTTCTGCTAACAGGACGACAATTGCAACCCGAAGTACAACGGGAAAGTAGGAACTGACTCCGAATTGTGGAACTGAAGTCCTGGTTTATCGACAATTGCGAAGGGTTTCGACAAGTGCGAACTAACTCGCAGTTCTCTAGACAAGACAATAATGGCGGTGCACATTACTAGGGGAAAGTACGAACTGACTCGGAATTGGGGAACTAAAGACCTGAAAGCCCCATGGGTTGGGTTGTCAACTCTCCACTAGTGTTGCTTAAAAAGTGCGAACTAACTCGCATTTGTGGAAATAAAGAACTGACTTTAACGAAATATGTGTCTAACCTTGGAAAAACTGCGAATAACCTCGCAGTTGTCACTCCTCGAACACTGTACGTTGCAAACAGCGAACTGACTCGCAATATCTCTCTCTATATATATATGTATTTATACATATATATAGTGTGTGCATCTTGAGCAAACCTCCTGAAAACTTCGTGCACGAGACGTCGGTACCGAGAGGACCAACGTTGACCGGTCTCCCAGCGTTTGTAACGCAAGTGGGTTGCATGAAAACAGCTGGCCCAAAAAAGTCCCCCTAAACAACGAAATCCAAGAACCATGGTGCTCTCTTTGTGGGCATATACTGAGGAGTAGGTTGCTGTACAGGTCGTCCCTCCCCGGGGGCAGATGGTCCAGCGCTTCTGGATGTGTTCTATGCGGACGCCATTGTATTCCCACCCGTTGACTAGCACGCCCAACCTCAGACCAACTCGGATGACTAATATGCCCAACCCCAGACCACTACAGAAGCGAAGTGCGAACTAACTCGGACTTAACTAAATGGAGGACGAAAAGGACGTAAGAGATGGGTGTTCGAAATCACATGAAGTCACAACAATCGGGTGAAGGATAGGAAAGACAGAAGTTCGGAGGGAAGACGATAACGGTTCGGAAAGATTGCGACCCAACTAGATGCCCTCGAAACGAGTAAGATGTGGTTTATCGACAAGTGCGAAGGGCGTCGACAAGTGCGAACTAACTCGCAGTTTTGTAGACAAGACAACAACGGCGACCCGGTACACTAGGGGAAAATGCGAACTAACTCGGAATTGTGGAACTGAAGACCTGAAAGACGCACGAAACGAGTAAGATGTGGTTTATCGACAAGTGCGAA